CAAACCAGACACGGTATCCACATGTGCTTTACCTTTGTCAGCAGCATGAAGACAACATCACTGTTATCCTCACTCAGAAAGGCCACGACATTTTCGTATAAAGTCACAAATTCATTGGGAGAGGCAACAGGAGTGAAGTAAGGAGAAAGGAGAGTACAGAGCCTTCGATTCTGCAGGATCGTCTGGAGGAGACGTTTGCACTCTGACTTGGTCCCACTGATGAATACCTGAGGAAATTGGGAATGGTGAGAAAAATGGCCCAGTATGAACCAACTGGAAAATACACCTCTTAAAGCTTTCTGTCAAGACAAGCATAATTTTGGTCCTTTTATAGAAAGGAAAGTTTTCTCAAAAAACACCAGACTGTATGAGATCAGTATCAACTAAATACTACTGTTCCACAAGATATAATGTAAAATAAACATGCTTCACTAGCACACTTGAGAACAGCACTTGTGACCACATGTGTTGTCTAAAATTACTTACAAATACAGTTTTTCTAATGGGATAGCAAAAGTAAACTAGATTTCAGCAGCCCTGCCTGATATTAGGAAAAATTTAAACAGAACTATGGCTATGAAGAGCTTTTCAGCACTGCAGCTATTACAGGCTGCACATGGAAACAAGCTGTGTCTAAGAGAGGAAAATAAATACCTGGACCTAAAGTAGCATTTTCTCAGAGCACCTACATAATGTGTTCCCCGCAGCAAACATTACCAACAACAACAAGCACTTATGTTCTCTATGAGCAAACTTCTGCCTGACTGTCTACCTCAAAGCCCATCTAGCTCCAACCCCCCTGCCATGGGCAGGGACCCCCTCCACTAGCCCAGGTTGCCCAAAGCCCCATCCAGCCTGACCTTGAACACTGCCAGGGATGGGGCATCCACAGCTTCTCTGGGCAACCTATTCCAGTGTCTATGTGTCACATACAGCTAAAATATATGCCAAGAAACTCTCTTATACACTGGAAGTACCCAAACTTTCTTTACCTGCCCAAAAATCCAGCCTACTTTAGCATTTAACTAACACAGGCAGCATTCATTATCACTAAGCTAATATAATAATTTCAGAGCGACAGTTTTTATTTTGCTTACATAGAAACTTAGTCTCCTAAAGACTGTGTATACTACACAATTAGTTGAAAGGAAAATGGGATGGAAGCTCAGAAGTTAGTTTTCAGGCTTCTGAATGTTTTAGACACCCAATATCAGCCAGCAATTGGAATAAGCATTAGGCATCCAAAAATCAGATAATAAACTCACTTGGCCTAGAATCTCAATGCAGGACGTGAAGAATTGCCTTGTAGGAGGATTGCGTTGAGTTTCATCACACACATATTCCACTAATGTAAAAAACAAACTAATTCCAACTTTCTTAATTGCAGGCATAGGCTGCACCTTGTAGATATTTATTAAGGCCCTGCAAAAAAAAAAAAATTAATTCACATATGCAAAATAATCTATGACAATAAAGAAAGGTTTCTTGCCAATATACAGCCTTGAGATGGTTATTTCTGGTTTACATGACAATCAAGCATGGTTTCACACAATCACAGCATATTTGAGTTTGGGAGGAATGTCTGGACCAACACCCTTGCTGAAACAGGGCCACCTACAGCCGGTTGCCCAGGACTATGTCCAGATGGCTTCTGAGTATCCCCAAGGATGGAGAGTCCACAACCTCTTTGGGCACTTGGGTCACCCATCACAGTAAAAAAAGCGTTTTCTGATGTTCAGAGGGACCCTCCTGTGTCTCAGTTTGTGCCCATTGCCTCTTGTCCTGTCACTGGGCACCCTTGAAAAGAGCCTGGCTCCACCTTCTTTGCACCCTCACTTCAGGTACATTGATTAGAACCCCACGAGCCTTCCCATATCCAGGCTGAACACTCCCAGGTTTAGCTCAAGTAATTTTGCTCCCTGAAATGAGTACCCTCCCAACCTTAGAAAATCTCCATAATCAGACTCAGAAAGTGATCATCAAAAGATTTTTCACAGCATAGTTCCAACAGATTATTTCTCCTTCAAATCTTGTATTTATCTTTCAGTACACATGCAGTTGAGAAGAACATGACAGTTCACCTCATTTTACTTAGCAGGCTCAGCAATGAAAGAGTTAAAAGAGGATCAAACTTTTGTTGTGTATTGCCAAGTAAATATTTTATTGAGCTCAAATCCCCATCTTCACTGAGTCTGAATTAAAACATCTGAAGAACATGCAATGCCGCAGATGTATATCCCAAGAACTAGCTCATCCACAGAATGTCAGATTAATGATAAAGAACGAACATGTAGAAATAGTAACCAAATATTTTTTCTTGTACAGTGAGTACACACTGTAGGAAATCTAACTTTGCTAAAAGAATCCCAGCAGAAATCAGGAAGATTGAGAAGGATGGTGTTGCAAAAACTGGACCTCTGGGATGAACTCTGAAAGGTCTTCAAAAGGAAGGCGGCCTTGGACAAATCCACTTATTCATTCCACAGAAAAAGTGGTAGTATGCATCCCTCTTCCACTGCACAATTTTGTTTCACATATTGAAAAGCTGCTTCAAATCATAACTATTAAAGGACTAAGTCCTGCACTGTAACAGGAAAAAACCTAGAGAGAGATACTAAAAACATAGAGTTTAGCCTATGGCTGAGACAGCTGTGGTTTGCCACTTCCTAAAGCTTAACATAGCATCCCTGTCATCACTCAATGTGCTCTGGCAGGGTGAGAAGGGCTATTCTAATACACTGAACAATAACTTGAAGTAGAAAACAATACTGTGTGCCCTGTTGAGGTTGAATGATCTTCTGACAATACAGAGTTATTCCTTTAGAGGTCTGTGTCAAACAAGTCTCAGGATTCCAGATCTGATGTTGACCCAAGCTGATAAGCATTACAAAAACCACACAAACAAGTTCCACATTTTAACTCTTACAGAAAAAGAAATATAAAACATCACTACCTAAAACAGTGTCTGAACAACCTACGTTATAAAATTTTCCACATGTACTGCTGCTTCCACAACACCCAGAGAAGGTGGCTTCGTAGCTTCTGCCTGCAGTTGTCTCACTTCTTTACGCAAAGCATGAAGCTGCTGGCTCACTGCTTCATTTTTATGTTTCCCTTCAAACTAAATAACAAAGAGACACATATTCATTTCAGAATAATATTTTTTTTGCTACAACTCTTGTATATTGCACCTATTTGTAAAAATGAAGCAGAGCCCAGTAAAAGAACTCTGAATATAGATGATTTTCCCCTGAGAGTTTTGACCAGATTTAATACTTCGTGCCCAAGCACACATCCTTGGTCACTTTCCTATTTAATTATCACACACTAATATAATTCATATCTTTCATGGAAGACTTTTAATCCACAGAAACTGAAACTTAAAGGGGATCAAGAAATTCATATACCAAGCAACACAGGAATATTTCTATAAACATTTTCATGCTTCTTTTCCTATCAGTGAGTATATTCCCACACTCCCACATTGGGAAGCAGTTCAGAATGGAAGTTATGATCAAAACAAACTTTATGCAACAACTTATTCAGCTGTTGATCTGCATGTCCTTTTGAGCATTACATATTAGCTATGTCAGGTAACTATTCTGTATGGGTTTATGTGATCAACTGCTACCATTCTTGTAATGATTCAGTCGTTTCACTTTCATTATCCCTGTCCAACAGCCTCAAAACAGAAGTGATGCCATGTCTCTAACCTGGACGGTCAGAAGAGCTGCTCCCTGGCAGCCTTTATTTGAAGTTCCCCGGCACTCCAAATGGAGGGTGATTTGCTCTTCCCGATTGACATACAGCTTAGGTACTGTGTCCAATATTTCACTATTGAGAGCAACATGTTGAGATTCCCAGAGAGCTGCAGTTCTGAAAAGCATTTATTAAAGTTACCAAAATCTTTACTGAAAATGGTAATACTAAGAATTTATACGCAAGAGATAAGACTTAATTTAATGTGCTGTACAAAGACTCGTGATGCTTTCCTAAAAAACATAAAAGATTATTAAATGAAACTGAGTTAAAATTTCAAAGTAATAAAGAAATAGGTCCATAAGAACAAAACTACTCAAGCCTGCGTAAGTTCTTTTTAATTATTCTGTATGACAACCTGGAAGGAAATTAAATAGATTACCCTCTGTAGGAAATGTAATTTTCCAGCAGACAAAAAAAGCTGGACTGTGGGATGATTTCCTAAAATTGCTGCTAGAATTGTTTAGACACATCCTCTCTTGGGCTTAGCAGGTTTTCTTTTGGTTTATAACATTGTTATTAAATGACTATATTGGGTGAGAACAGCTACAGATTCATCAGCTGTGTTTGAAAATATTTCAGGTGGATTCTCTTAGTAGGAATATCAGAAAAAGTCTCTTTCACTCAATAGTCCCAGAAATCAGATTTCTCTCCTGGGGCCTCCAGTGCTTTGTATTACAGCTACTACATTAGCGCAAAAGGTTTAACTAACTTACTATCAACAAATCCAGGCTAAAGGGAGACTTTATTTTAAGAAGTACGCCAAATGAGAAAAGAAAGTGTACAAGTTAGGCAGTAGCTGATGTAATCTCAGTCATTAGGTAAGACTTGTGCAGTCTTATCTCAATGGGGTGGAATAGTAACATGACAGCCAAGGGAAAAAAAATACAAAACCCACAAAACCTGGGACAAGAAGCAGAAGTGAAGTAGGAACAAGTCTTGTGCCAACACCACAAATGAGGCTGCTGTAAAGGGTACCTGAAGACACTGCTTGACACACTAGTGAGGCACAAGGAACACAGCTATGTCTTACCTGGCATGTTGCTGCAAGATGTTAAGGTCCATGCGCATGAGCTGACTTGCTTCTTTCTGACTTACTAGACTGGCAGACGAAATAACTGGCACAGGAGCTTTCATCGTCTGGAGCGGAAGAAGGGGCTTGGGAGTATCAAACTTCTTCAAATTATTCATTATCCTCTCTTTGGCTAGAAAAGAAAGCAGAAGCAAGTTTTGTCAATAAGAAAAGTTCAGGAGAAATTGAACATAAACATTATTTTTGCAAGAAACATTTTTAGCAGCAGACAAATGTTTCTCCGGATTCCTCTCTTTAAAAAAAAAATAATTTAACAAATCTTCTGATTTTTTGTTGACAATGTTTATTTTACACAGCTGATTTTCATGACCAGCTCTATCACACAAACATCAGGATCTAAGGCCTTATAGCTTTCCTTGTTTCCCCAGCCACTCCTACCTCCTACCTTTCCAATTTTCCTCTTATCACCCCATTTATTCCCCTCCCCTGACAGAGGCTCCCAGAGCCAGTCTAAGCTGAATTCATCTTCCTTTCCACATCCTCACCTCTAGTCTCGTCAGCTCCAATTCCTCCCCAAAGCACAGCCTCTCTCCAGGTCAGCTCTCTCCTCCTGCTGATTCCCACTGCTTTGCCCAAGCAGTGGGCATTCACCTATGAAACTATTCCAGTTTCCTTCTATTCCCTCCCTCCTCTTTTTTAATCATCCCCACCAAAAAACGCAATCTCATATCCTTAATATGCCTACCACGACTATTATCCCCTTCTGTGCTAGAACAACACTTTTGCCGTGCCAAAATTCCAGGAAAGGCATTGGGAACAGAAACACAAAAAAAACCCCAGAGACAGTCTTTCTGTTTTCAGTTACAGTGGTTTTTGCCTTTGCTTGCAGTTGTCTGTCTAAACTTTGGTAAAATTCAGCCTGTCTGCAGCATGTTCTGCATAGAGGAATCTTTGGGGAGCTCACCCACGAAGCTCTAGGCACAACATGACTTGCTGTTCTGTGATGTGGCAAACTTTAAGCCAAAAACATCGATGTTAGCCTCTCACATGAACATCTTAGGGAGAACATCACGAAAACTTCATACAAAATACCATACCCATAGAAAACAAACTGTATTAACATCTTTATTCACAGACATCATAATGTTCCTAAAGAAACTAGGGCTTCAACATGTTAATAATTCTTTCTGGCCTAGTTTCATTAACGATATTCTTAACGCTCACCTGCTAAAGGGCTGGTGAAATCTGTTTGCCCTGCAGAAACACAGGTCGTATGTGATTCAAGCTGAACATGCAGCCAAAGGTTTAGAGCTTCCTGAAACTCATGGTGTACAAGTTCAACATTGACATACTCCATCCACAAATCCTAAAGCACAAAAGAATTAAATTATCATTCCCATTTTGGTCTGTACCATACACTGTGCATCCATCTCAGTAACTGGGGAACGAAAATAAGTACATAAAAGTAGACTAGTTTTAAGTCATAGGAAAAGTACTACTAGGGGAAAAAAAAATCTATACTGAAGAAAAAGGCTGCAGAATTTTTATCACATATACAGCCACTGAAAATCATTCATGACTCTTAGAGAAGAAATCTAACAAGAACACATGGTATAATTTCTAACAAATAAGAGAGAAAGGGTGCAGATTATTAAAACTCTGTTCCAGAAAAACGGAACACAGAGGAAATCAAGATAGTCTAAAACATCATGGCATGATTAACTGTAATCAGGCTAAACCAGGCTTCATTTCCAGTAGTCACATACACTGGAGGAATAAAAAAAAAAAAAAAGCAGGTATGAGGAAATGCTCTTCCAAAATCTCCCCCCTCTCAGGTTTTTTTAATTATACTAACTCTTTAGGCTTACTGGACAGAACAAAACACACTTCCCACTTGCTAACTTATAGTTGAACCTGACATATTACAGACTACCAACATGAGCACATTTTGGCTTCCAGTCTTTTGTCATTTAAAGTTCCAACTTCAGTAATTCTCTAAAATCATCTTAGAACATAAAAAGAATTATAGAACAGAATAAGGACTGTTATTCTTCTTAAGATATGCAAGAAATCTACTCATGAGTCCTTGCTCAACTATAAAGGAAGACAGATGGGGAGCATGGGATCTTTAGGAAAAAATTAGAGCTGTAAAGCTACCATACATGCTGTACGTGTATTAAAAAGACCAGTGACACCAAGTCTCTCACTACTTTAGGGGATCCACTTTAACAAGTCAATTGAATTTTGGCTGCCAGATTGCCAATGTCATCGGCACTTCACCTGTTGATTCTGCATGACTTTAGCAAGTCTATGTGCATCATATTGCTTTGGTAAAGAAGGAATGTACGTGTCTCCTTTCTGGAAACTCTCCTCTTCCAACCACAAAACAAAAACATTACAAAGCCTGAGAACAAAAAAGAAAAGAATAAATCAACATGAACTATAATTGTATGCATAGAACATATTACACAGCAGTCTCATTCTGTGGTTTAGAGCTAAGGCAAGAAAGCATGCTACAAGGTGACATGGCTCAAAATACAGATTTTGAATGACTAGCTAAGTGACTAGCTTACTATGTGTCAGTTTGAAGACCGGCAGGAGAAAGAAGCTATTTAGAAAATATATGAAGGGCAGTAACCAGGAATAACAGGACAAGTTTTGAAAAGGAAAGCATCTCTCCAAATTAACAAACACGACCCAGGACTAGAAGCATCTCTTATGTCAGGGAATTACATTGACAACTTCATTCAAAAGACCAAAGAAGAAAAAAAAGAGTATATCTGAGCAAGTTCAGCTTCTCACCCCATGACTTCTCTAGAGTGCCTGCTCCAGAAGCTCACACCCAAGTTACATATCTTTAACCTGTCACACAAATTCATGGCTCATTTATTCCCATTTCCTCCTCTGCTAACAATGTACTTTAACATAAACATACTTCTTTCTTCAACTGGCATCACTCTACTTAGGGGTACCCTTTTTATAATCGTACCGTCCAAGCTTTCCTGATTAAATACAAAGGAGAACTTTAATGCCACTTTAATGCCTTTAATGTAAAGTTTTAGTGGTATTAAATATCACTAGCAAACTCCTGTTTTCTTTATCAGTGTCATTGGTGAAAAAATGGAAGCAGTTTAGTTCCAAAAGTCAGCTCTGATGAGCTCTACCACTGTTTTCCCTCCTGTCTAGGTGGTCTTGAACTTCCTGAGTGTAAGATTTACTTGGCTGTAGAGCAGTCTTGTTTTATGTTGGAGTGGGGAACTCCTTTGAAATGGAAGTCTGAAAACATTAATCAAGTTACAGCCAGTGAACATCTCTGCATTATTTTTCACAGATGGCCAAGGAGGATTTATGATCTCCCTTGTCTGCTTGTACCATATACACACAAAGTAGCATTTTACATTTATAGCTAGTGATGTACATATCGGTAGCAGGTAGGTCTAAACAACAAATATTTTACCAGCATGGGGTTACCATTAATTAAAAATCAAAGCTCTCCCTTAAGGGGAGCAACAACTCTATCAAAAATCTTTTATTTTTAGTAGAAAAATTAGCTCCCCCTCAATCAAAACAAGCTTTATCAACAGAGGAACATATTTGACCACAACTATGCATCTAACAAGTGCCTGTGGTACATCTAGGTGAGCCAAGGGTCACATCCCTTCATGTTTCCCACAGCAAAGACTGTGCTCTAGTAGTTGCTCAGGTGGTTGCTTTGAGTAAGATTGAACTGTGCAGGCTTTATTTACCTGACAAGTTCCTTATGCAGTTCTGGTGAGGTCAGGTAATCCGGCGAGCAGCTTGCCTTCTCTGGTGATCTGTCTCTGCCCTCTGCAGGGCTCTCCACTCTTAGTGCTTTACTGGCAGCATGGTGGAAGTCTGCTACCTCTATTAAGCGCTGCTTCATTTCATTTAGTAAGTTAACATGAGCTGCACTCTGAAAAAAACGTCTTCCAATACAGCCATCTACAGGTAATCTAAAGAAAATGAACAAAAAAGCACAAAGTCTTGTAAATGTCCAATCAGCATCTCTGAAAATAAACTGACCCTTTATAGAAGCTGCTGCTACCCACTGCTTTCAGGTGCGGTCTTAGTGCGAGGCACTTAATCTCACTTGCAGTGCAAACTTAACAGTGCTTGCTAATCTGCTAGAGCCCTTGCAGTCAGACTCACCCATATTGTGGTCCTGGTCGGTGAAGGTAAAGGAGGAAGAATTTCTGCCAGATTAGCGGCATCAGAGGATGATCAGCAGGGGTAGCAAGGGCCTGGTGAGCCCAGCGGTAAATCATGAGCCTCTGAAGGGAAGGTACGATGGGCAGCTTCAGCTGGGTCTGTGCTTTCTGCAAAAAGAACATTTTCAGACAAGTGTTCTGCTGCGGTTCCCTGTAACAGGCTGTCACAGGTTAACAGATTAACACAGCATGAAAACTCAGCAATTGTGGAGTAGAAAACTTTGGAAAAATTCACGCATCTGTTACAGGTCTTAGGGGAAGAGCTGCCCAGCTCACAGTGATGTTGGACAGCTGTTACAGAGCAGTGCTACACCTCTGATGTTTTAAAAAAAAAATCAGCATGATGGCTCTGTGATGCAAGGCCAACATATAGGCCATTGCTGTTAATTACAGTTAATTGCTGTTCTTCCTCACAAAGGTAGATGTTCCTGATTTAGGCTTCCCAGAGATGGGTGATGTTAGAGAACAAAACAGCAATAGTGAAGTATACAGCACGCTCCAACCAGTAAAAATAACAGTCTTAAGCCATGTGACGACATAGCATCTTACAACATGCTATGTTCAGCTTTTTCCAGACTATGTTCCCATGCGGCCCTATTGAAAACCTAAAATGCCAAGTAAAACTAATGTGAAGAAAGAATATAGAAGGAAAAAAAAAATTCTCTTTGCAAAAGCAGAACAAAGGCAAAGCAACCTATGAGCAGCAGCACTCCATATTAACAACATGGAACGCTACTCCACAGACCCACTACACCATTAAAAAGTCACACAGCAAGCTTCCACAGACTGTGCCTGAAGCAGGGGAGCGGGAGGCTTTTCTGAGTTCCCACGTCTCAGTGCAGACCCTGGCACTACCTCATCACCCACCCTAGGCCTCGGGAACCCTTAGCACCCTTTTCCACATACTCCCCACATACTATCTCACTGTTTTCCAGGTAAATTGAGACAAGCAAGTCAAGGGAAAAATGTTCTCCAGAGTAGTCTCCAAGGATGCAAGACATGTACCAGTCTGGAACACAGCCAGACCTATTTTCACAGATCTTCATAGAGATAGAGAAAATAACCTATCTTCATAGAGCTTCTAGCCTACCTTGTTCATTAAAACACACTGAAACAGTTGAGAAGGATATGCCAAAGGCTATACTTCGAGACTGGACAGCTTTGGTTTCCACTTGCTTTGTTCCAGAATTTCTAACTGAATTTAGGCAAAGAACCTGGAAAATGCTGCAACATGGCTTAAAGCACAAGTAAGTGCCTTGTTAAGGGAGAGACCTAAATGGTTCTGAAAGTTTTGGAAAATAATTCAGCAAATACAGAGAAAAGTAAAGCCCAGACTTCTGAAAAATTCAGATCATCTGAGAAATGCTCTTTGATATAAAGACACACTTTCCCACTTGTAAAATAAGAGTATCTGCACTCCCCTATTTTGGTATAGAATAAATCCACTGAAGATAGTGACGCATTCAGATGACCCAGAAAATCACACAAAAGCACACAAAAGCACTAATTAGTGACTTAAGTTTTCTGTAAGTACTGGTATATTAAAAAACAGATATTTGAATGGTAGTTTTTAAACGTTCAACTCAAAATGTAATGGAGAATTTCCCTGAGGAAGTTTTTCTCCTGGAAAGCCAATCATGTAAAGCATTAGTTATACTTTTACCTGGGCAAGAAAAAGCACAAGATAAAAACTAAACAATACAAGAGAACACTTTTCTCTGGTAGTTCTCTCTAATTAAAGCAGATGAACAGTTCTCTCACCTTCAAAGCTTGATCAGGAGTTAAAGCATTAATAACCAACTCTCCCTCCACAACTCTGCGAAGCTGCGAGTCTTCCTCAAATATTGACTCCATATTTAACACTATCCATGAAAACCAGACCTGCGCAACACAGTAACAGAAACATTGATGACAAAATGGCAGGGACAGGATGGCAAAGCTTGTTTTTAGTTCACAGGAGCACGTCTTTGCCAGATTCTCATTGCAGAGTTGCAAAAGCAGTGTCATATCACAAAAGAAAAATGAGAACCAGTTTCCTCTTTATCTGCATTCAAACATCCTCTTTGTATTTTGTACAATGTTGGGAAATAAGGGGAAAACCAGGGACAACTGGCAGAATTATCCAGAGAGTTCTGGAAGAAACGATCTACTCAAACCCTGTAAAAATAGGATCTCCTCCCTCCCACTTGTACTACACATCTCCAGCTGGGGTACTGCAGGTTTTTTTCTTTTTGCTCAAATGAGGAACTTGCTTATCAGAGAAAAAGGAACTACATTCAAAATATTTATCTGAAAAAGACTGATCTAAGAAGAGTCAGGCTTTGCATATTTTCTCTCATTAAATATATTGAGAACAACTGAAGATTAAAAGAATAAAATACTAATAAATCCCATTACATGAATTCTTGGACACGGATCAGACAAACTTTGTCTGTGCAAAACGTCCATGTTCCCTTTAGCGTAATGAACCCACAGCATTCTCTTAGGCTAAATTAGGATTCTATCACAAGAAAACTCACAAACACGGGGATAGGAAAAAAGGGAACAAGAGAAGAATCTGCAAAAACAGGAAAAAACCTAAATACCTGTATATTGCTCATCCCAGGGTTGTTCATATAACATCATCATACCACTTACCTGAGAGGAATTTGCATTGCCCTCAACGAAGGAAGGTGTCACATTGCCTGCCACAATCCAGCTAACAAGTGAAGACAGTAGACCTTTGTCACAGTGATAGCCTAAAGCATTCTGCATGGAAAAAGAAAACATTTGGGTTGGGTTTTTTTTTGTAAGCAGCCTAAAAGATGATTTACAAGCTCCAGGTATGTCACACTGCCTTCATCCAGGTTCCTTTCTGCCTCACCTTGCTACTACCCAAACTTAGCTCAATCAGCTACCACTGAAATGCCTCATAGTGCTTCATTATTTTTTTTTTCAGTGAAAAGATCCTGTTATAGTGACAGCTCCTGTTTTCCGAAGAGTATGCTCTACTTTTGTTCTAAATATACTATTAAACATTTGAAATGCAAAGACCACAAACGAAAATACTACGACAGAACTCATGAATGAGACCTATGTTCCAAATAGGTAATTCTTCTTATTATTCAATTATCAGATATTTCATTAATCAATCTACTCAGAAACAAACCCAATAACATAACCCCAATACCACTCAAACATGACTGTTCTTATTACATTTCAGGAAAATACAGTCACATCAAAATTAGAACAAACAACAAACGAACTGACCATTTACTCAACAGCCACACCATCATACCACACCCATTTACCTTGTGTTGTTGGTAGAGCAGCTTTTGTACACAGTCCTCTTGACTGTACTGGAAAGCAGCTTTACACAAGTCATCCAGCAAGAAAAGTGTTGCCTGGTCCCTGTGCCACAGCTGCTGGCTGGTGAGGACCTGAACCCAGAACTCCAGTACCGCAGCCGGCCCCACTCCATTTGGCTGGTCACTTCGAAAAATGTGAGTCTGCCAAATTGAAGGGTAGAATTATCCTTTAATTGAAGCTGCAATCTCTTGAATAAAAATTTATTGAAGAACTGTTTATATTACATAAGGCTGTGGGCCTATCCTTAAAATAAATAATTTACGACAATGCTCTCTATGCCTATGTAAAAATAGCTTTGTCATCTCCAGCCTCTAAAAGAGATTCTGCAGCCTGGAGAGCTGAGCATCTTGTGCATGAGCAAAAAAAGGGAAAAGCCATAAGCAAAAGCCCCATGACCTGCAGGTATAATTGGCACCTATTTCTGAAGTGCAGCCTGCTGTTCCTGCAAAAAGACCTCTCAGAAGAGCAAGTATGTTTCTCTTTAGGCCTTACCTCTCTCCAATGTTAGTGGGCCCTGGTTCTTGACTTCTCTGCACTTGGAAAAAAAAAATACTAGTTTCCTAACACAGGAATATTTTTTAATAGCATAGCCATAAACCAGTGGTCAAAACCAAAACTTTCAAATATATTAACATATCTGCTGCATTCCTCAACTAACACAAGCGAGAAAGTAGAGCTGTGTATGACATTCTCTTTTTAGAAGGAGTTTTGACCTGGTATTAGAAAATCCATTTTCCAAGAAGTCTGGAAGGCACACACTGTTGTGTCCAGTGTCACATGCATTGCCAGATTTAGGCAAGTTTAAGCAGAAGTATTTCAGGAAACCCAACCCAACTATTCATGCTTGATGCAGGGTACTCCGTGATTACAGAACCGCCAGATTCAGTATCCTTTCTGACCTTAAGCACTAATTCAGTCAAAAAAGCTTATTTTAAAAAAAGCCTCCCCCCTCCTTTTTTTTTTTTTTTAAAAATAATCTTCTTACCTGTATCATACTACTGAGCAGCTTAACATTTTCTCCATAGCTCACTCCTGTCAAGTGCTGTGTTACTTTATGGGTAACCTGCTGGGTCACGCCTTGAGGGACTCCACTATCCAGATGAAGGAACAGTTGGACATAAGATAAAAATCTAGGGATGTCAACAATTTAAATTAATTTGAAAAATTCTCATACAGCATAATATACAGAAAATTTGCTTCTAGAGAATTTAAAACCAACAGTACCAGTTAACACCCATACACAAGGCTTTTGATTCACAACCATGCTGCAGATTTAATTGCTCTATTTCAAGTGTATCTTAGGCACAGTATGATGTGTCTTTCATATATACATCATATACAGTATATAGCAGACTGTAATTCAAGGCAGCTCATCAGGACAGAATACAGTTCTCCATCCATATAAGCACCAAAATCTAGAATTGTCTGTGAGACTGCCAGGTGGTCTAAGCCAAAAGCACCCCAGGGACCACAGTACTAATTTACCAGGACAGACAGCTGAGCTCCAGCACTTAAGGACACTCCCAGCCGCTCAACTCACCATAAGAACACAGTTAAATAGTACTGCCTGCGTATTTTTCTCACTCATCTAAGCGCTACAGCTTTCTCAAGATCACTTCTGCAGCACAGCATCATCATCAGTGATGACTGTACACATGACGTCCGTAGGACACACTTCTACAACTACTTCCTCAAAAAGTAACTCAGCAAACAAACTGAACTACTTCCCCATCATCTGCATCACATTCTCACTGGATGCAAAATAAGCATGATAAATGTAACAGTTAAGATTAACTTTCATTGTTCTTTATCAATAAGTGTATTAATAACATATAATGCTTACTGTTCGTTCTTCAGGAGATAATACTGGCAAGAGTAAAACAAGGGTAAAATTTTATCCAGCACATGGACTACTGTTCTCAGGTATCTAGACTGGATGAGTACACCCAAAAGAGGGATCCCTTCAGCACAGAACTTCTCAATGCTGTCAAAAACAAAACACAAAAAAACCAAAACCAAAATAAACACACTGACTATCAGCAGAAAGGGAGACAGGGTGCAGAGGGTGTTGTTTTTATTTTTTTTCTTCAGTGACCTGAGATGTAAAGACATTCATATCTTTACACTTCATCTTTGAAATCCTAAACAGCTAAGTCCACGGAGTTTTTTTTTCAGCTGTAGGAGTCATTCGATTGCTGACAGGTTTGGTAAGTATTTCCTGCCCTTCTGGGGCTTTGTGTACTGTCTTCCAAAAAATCACTGGAGATAGGGGTCTTCATCCATCCAGTTTCAATTAATTTGCCTAACCTAGTCAACTAATCTCTCCCTCTAGGCAAAGGAAGAACAATACAGAGGGAGTTTCATATTACCTAGCTTTGACATCTCCTCAGGATGGATGATGCTCTGGACATCTTTCTTCACTACCTAAAGATGGAGCTCAGAGTTTCCTCACAGTAGGTACCGCAGTCAGCTGAGATGAATCCTACTCTTGCTGTCCTGAACACCCCCGAGCACCAACTTATTTGGTACGTTGCTTTGCATCAAGTTTTGTTAACTGAGAAGGGTTGTACATTAGGAAAAGATGTAGAACATTAATCCTCTCTCTACTCCAAGGTCATGAAAAATAAATATTGTATTAAGTCACTAGCACACAGTACAGTGCTTTGTTTCTTCTGGTCATTAACATAACTGGCCTTGACCTTTCACCAGAGTGGTTGGGGGGGAGGGGGGGGACAAAACACCGCAGAAGTAAAGATGTTCCTTGTTTTTCATTCTTTGTTCTAAGTAATGTAAAAATTTCCACTCTCAAACCAGAATACCTTCAGATAAGTCTCGGATTACTCTAGTGCTCTGAAGAAGCACATATGTATCTACTGTAACCTTAGCACCAAACAATGGTTTGGGGAAGGAGAAGAAAGCAAAGACAATTTTTCTTTAAAGAGAGTAAAGCAATATTATATGCAGAAAACAAGTTAGTGAAAATTTTGAATAGAGTAAGACATAATTAAAGAGATCATAGATTTAGGGAAAATAGACCTGGGAGAGATTAATCTCTCCATGGCTCTGCACCTTAATCAACTAGTACATTTGATTATGTCCAAAAGTGTTACCTACAAACCAGCTGAAAGCATTGGAAAAGACTGTTTTGAGTCAGAGCTAAGAGGTTCAGTATCAAAAGTTATAAAGCTGTCTATCATTATCATGCTGGGTTTTTTTTTTCCCTCCTCACTACTTCTGAATGCTCTGTGGCAGCCCTGCTGGAAAAAAGTTACCTGTGTGGTTAAAAATTATTCCTGTCCATAGTAATCATGCTAACTCCTCAGTTTCAATACTGTTTCTCACGACTGTTTTGACCCTAACATGCAGAAGGCAAAAAGTAGTATTAGCAAAGTAAATGAAATGGCACATTGTTTGAAACTACAGTCCCAGAAAGACTGCTCAATCCCTTGCATCAGAAGTCCTTTGTTCTTTAAACACAGATAAAGATGTTAATAGCCCTCAGTTCATCATTAGGTAGGTTGCTCAGTCACTGGGGGCATCCATCCAAGGGAAACACAAGAAAACAGACTTACTTGTGACCAAGCGTGGTCATTGCCAGTGCCAGGTAGCAGCCGATCGGGATGCTTGCTTTAACAGCCTTCAAGAGGGGGTGAAGCGTGACCGACTCCGTCATGTCGAGCACCCTGTCAGACACAGGGACCGCAGGCCAGCCATGCTGCATAGCACGGTCATTTCTGTGAAGCTTTAACCTCAAAATCAAACCCCATGCCCACTGATTAAAGGAAGTCTCTGGTGTTTCTCCATAACGAACAATGCTGGCTAAGTAGGAGACCTGGAACAGAGTAGCAGAAACAGGAATGAGAGGAGGCACAGCAATACTACAGCACGCATTGCACTACTGTAGGACTTGGGTCAGCTTGGATGAGTTTCCTCTTCTATCACAATATCATGACATGAGATCAGAGCAACAGTAGCTATTTTTCAGATGCACCATGTAGCACCACCAATTAAGTTTATCTAAAAATCTCTGTTTCTATGGCCTTGATTTCCACCTGCCCTCTCCCCCCATCCATTCCTTTTGGTAAAGACTATCCACCTATCCTGCTTGGATAAAGTTTTCCAAATCAGATATTGGTCTCAGATTAAATTTTGTGTTTACTATGAAAAAAAAAACCAACAAAATCAAACAACCATACAGAACTTTCAATAATGTTTAATACTGCTAGTGAAAGGAAAACTGAAAATATGTATACAAAAAAAATATCTGTCAATTAAAAAGCCTAAAACCCTGCAGCCTCTCCTTGGAAAGAGGTCTAACGTGGACAGGCAGAGTCTCTGTGCCACGTAAATATGTCCATTATCATGAGAAGGCTGTCTAGATCAGAGGCACTTACAAATCTTTGGGAAAAATATTGCACATGCTCTGACAGAGTAGTGTAAATTGCAGAGCTGGGAGTCAATGCAGGTATTTCATTCTCTCTGAGGAGGCGTACAAGAACCTAAGTATTATTTTCTCTCAAGTTCCAGTTATAAGCTCATGGAAGTCAGGACAGATTCACCAATACGAGTGGCAACCAAGACTGAAATAGGCTTAAAAAGAGAACTCATCTAGCTGGCACAAGACAACAATCTATGATTAAGTAGTGCAGAGATGCAAGTCAGAAAAGAGAGAAACAATAAAGAACTTTCAAAGTGTGGGAAGAAAAAGCTGGAGAAAAAAAAAGCACAGGGGACGAGAAAGCACTGACAAGAAATACTGAGAAGATGAAGCACAACACAATGCTAAAAGCTCTGAATAAATAAATAGAAGCATTTTGGACTGAATATCCAAAAAAGGGATTTTTAACCTTGATCTTTCTATCCTTCCATTCCCCTTCTGTAACTTGGAGCCATACCTTCCCCAGTCACCAGTGTGCTGTAAAATCAATGTAATAAATGTTTGTAGGGAGGTCACGTAACACAGCACCAATCAGTACTGAAAAGCTCCTAAAATCTTGACTCTAAATAAGGTAAGACTAAGAGCTGGAGACACAGGAAGGATGTCCCTTATGTTCACAGTACTAGTAATTAGCTTTTTGTTAAGCAAGTACTTGCCAACTCTGCACAAGTAAAGGATGCTTTGCAAGAACAACGTGCAACTATCCAACTACAGGCTGGATAATAATGCAAACCTACAAGGGGGACAAATTTAAAATTGCTATTTCTGATATAGATGTTCCACGTAAGTCTAACAGTATCAAACAGCTCTGTCTGTGCAAAAATACCGAGAGTTGACATATTATGATGTTCTAGTAGTATCAAGATAGCGTAGCTTTTAAAAAGAAAAAGGAAGACAAGGTCTTGGCCTGCAGTTTTTCCTTTCTATCACTATCAATAAGCAGTTCCTCGTAATTCTGAAGACAGATTACCTGTTTTATGCTTTCAGAAAGCAGCCCAGCATACGGTTTCTGGGAGAGATATTTCTGATATGCTTCCAGGATCATCAATGCAACTTCAGAATGGACTGCCGGATCTAGATGAAGAGCATCCTGCTAAAACCAGAATTGTATCACAAAACTTTGCCTCATTTAAAAGGTCTCTACAACTGTATCATTCATTCAGTTGCACTATAGAGAAATAAATCTTAATTTGAACAGCCAGAAAGATACTAAGGATTGTAATACTTAGGCAAAATCTTGGCCAGTAAGAAAAATTTCGGCCCAACATTGAAGAATAACAGGCTACACTGGGCAACACAAAGCTCAACAGCTAGATTATTTCCAGAAAAAAGTGACCATAATTACATCTCACGTGCATTTTGTGGATTTATAGCAATTAATTTAAAGATCCATAGATGGCATTTTAAAATTACATAGTACAGACACTGGAAGTCTTGCTTTTAAAAACAAAACAAAACCAACCAAAAAAAAACCCAAACATATTATGGTTTTTGTATCAAAACATAGTAAATCCTCTTATCAACCGCCACATTAAAAAAACCTATTTTTCCCCATATCAAAGAGTACCGACATGACACTGTTATTGCATAGTGAAGACCTCACAGTTATTTTCCCTACCATTCCTTTGTTTTCATGTGTCATCAAGAAGCAAGGAGAAAAAGTAAGGCAATCTTCACGTACATGTATCAGCACAGCAAAGAGAAGAGTTCAGTATGATCAAATGCACAGATTACAATGCCAAAAACGGATCACTGAACACAGGCAACAGGATTTTTTCCCATAAATATTCACCCTCAACTGGATCCTGAACTGATACAGCTTCTGGAGTAACCCATTCTATGGAATATTTTCCAATTATTTAAATAATGCTCAGGACTTCGAAATCTCTAATTTCAATCATTAGTTTTCTTGCATTGTAAAAAACATACCTGAATCCCAGCCTGCAAACTATAGTCACACCAGTCTCATACATACTTCTTGAAGGATTCCTCTGTTTCTGCAGCCACAGCTATCTTAATCAAGTGACTCACAAAAATTGTACTGTCAGCTGTTTCCTCTTGTTTAGAGAGAGGAAACTCCTGCTTAAATATCTCTTTTAATCTCAGTTGGAGCACTACAAGAAAGCAACACAAGCAAATCCTCAGGTAGTACGCTGCAAAATTATTGTGAAGTTCCCATCCTATGCTATTAAGTGTACAGCCATCATATAAAAGCATGTAATTAACTGTTTAAATTCAGTTACAGTCCCAGGTTGAGTAATAAGTTCTCTGTAAAACTGATCAGGTTCAGGCCTCCTGGTTTTAATACATACATGCTCACCAAATCCCCAGTTTAGCCCTTCCAAGATAATGCAGGCTAGTTTATTCTCCACTGTTGTTAGACTGTAATTTAATAACCAGTCACGAATCAGTGCTATCTCAGATGAAGAAGGCTTCCACAGGTACAACGGCAGTTCTTTAAACAGATATAATGAAACCTTTGAGGGCAGAAGAGAGAAAGGTTGATCAGTACTTAGTATGCAACAATCATCAGTGTTATGCCCTTCTATCTTAAAGCGGGATATGATCAAAAAACCATGCACAGGTCTGGTACATATAACACAGTCTGGTATTGCCTCTAGTTTTAACTGGGTGCCTGCTTTAAATGATGAACATTAGCACTTACCATTCCAACTTTGTTGATGGTGTCTCTAACTCGATCCAGCAGTACAGAAATAATCTGCGTATGGATGCTGGCAATTGCTCCCAAGAGTTCTCGACCAACTTTTGAAAATGTCTCTCTTGTGGAAAGACTAACATAGGACACCTGAGAAGATGAGCAGAAAGAAATTATTGGTTATGGCTGACCTTCACTGACACTGCAATAAAATATCTTTTGGAAAAATACAGAACCAAACTGCTCTTGGTGATCCTGGACAATGAGACTGATAAATGACAATATTAAAACTGAAACCAACTGCCTTAGAAGATAACGAAACTATTATGTTACAGTGCCAAAAAAACCCAAATGTTCAAAACTAATCATAGGAACAACAATGCCACACGCATTAAGAAAAAAAAAAAAAAAGCCCTACAGACCACAACAAAAAAGCACCACACAAGGAAATTCAGAGATCCAAGTTGGATCTGTTTAAGAAAAATAAAGCAAAACAAAGATATTTTTGTTCATTTTTTTTTTATTCTGGATTGGACTACAGAAAAGCTGTTCTTTCTCTCAGAAAAACACGCACTTCAGAGTATTTTAATACAGTACTAGATTATAAACCTCAGAAGTAACACTTTCTTAGTTCCACGGTAGAACAAGCTACAGAAGCCATGAATATTTCACACCTTCCACTTTTAGAAGAACAAGAACACATTCAACTTTTTCCTGAATAAACCAGTAATGTTACTCGCCTCATATATCTCCAGAACAATGATTTTGATAAAATCCTCGTCAACATCAGCCCGTTTGGTTTGTGCCATCTGAGCAAATGTGGTGAGCAGACAAATTTCTTCCGAGCAGTTCATTGATTTGAGATACTTTTCAAAATTTTCGAGGTGGTCTGGGTCTATAAAAAAGTCACATGAAAGAAACATGATAAAAGAAGTGTTATAGGACATACCATCATCAATATTTATACATTTATTGACAGTCCAATCCCAGAGAAAGAATGAGTGACAAAGGAATTATCATCACTAGGTTAGTATCCTCTCTTCAGAAGTGGCTGATATCAGCTGCTTTAAAATAAGGTGCAAAAAACACCATAATATGCAGTGAGTCCATACGAATCAGTAAATACGCTAATAATTCATACGGAAAGCTAAAACTGCTTCAAGAACAGCTGTAATTCTATTTTTAATATTATTTTAACTATGCAGTATTGATCATCCACAGGAAGAATTGCTTGAATCTTTGCTTTCTAAAAATGTTATCGTGGTTGGCTTCTATTACATATTGGAGCAATTAATTCCACAGATTAAGCCCAAATTATATAAAAGGATTCTAGTTTTAATCAGGACGCAGTCAAGAGAAGATTAAACCTGAGCCAAGCACAGCAGAGAGGTTTTGATCAAGTTGAGAGACTCTGCCCATTACACATACCATGATCTCAAGCAGCAATTAAACTAGGGAGATCATTCTATGCCAATTACAAATAAAAATACTTCAAGCATCTAGCCCTGGGCCTAAATTACGTCCAAGACTTACAAGAAAAGGTCAGGCTCAGCTTCTCAAACTCAATACAAGAAAATTACTGAGTGCACTTGTTTTGAAAATAATCTGTGAAAACAGAGAACTGAAGTTGCATAGGACAGAAAGGCTGAGAGATGCTTTCACTTGAATTCAAGGCAGGTTTCCTCTTTAATTCCAAGAGTGACGTGTTGCCAAATGCAAGTAAACATTTCATTCCTCCAGGTGGGGGAACAAAAGGAAAGGAAGGGTAGGAAGTAGCCTGAACAGGACTTTAAAATAATTTTTATTTATTCCAAATAACTTTAAATTAAATCTGTGCAGCAAAACAAGCACTGAAACTGCATTTGAGCTGTTAAATGGTTTGAAGAGCGG